TTTACAATGACTGAAAATCCTGAATTGCTCAGTCTACATGCCCGCCAACAGCATCCAGCTGAGGGTGAAAATAAAACTGTAGCTTCTGGATGGATTCGTTCTTTGTCACGTGCTATAATGCACCGATTGAAGGATGATATTAAAACAGTGCTTCGTCCTGGAGAATATCGGCCAAAGCAAAATCACCAAGTCACAAAATTGTCTATCAAACTTGATGCATTTGCAAACTTATTGAATCTTACCCTATATGACCATTGGGGAAAGTTCAAAGAGAGACTGCAGCCAGTTTCCTATATTGCAATTCGAGCAGTTCATGCTATTTGTCCTGATAGCATTACTTGTGTTGATCAATGGTGTGCTTCTAGAGCTCTTTTGCAAACAACCAGACCAAGAGATGTCCCATTGGTTACCTTAATCAAAGACAATATTCCTTATGAGGATGTTCCTGTTCTAACAGGCAAATGCATGCAATGTGGTGCTATCTATTATGCAGATCATGAGCGCTTTAAAGATAACTATGGTTCTTGGACCAAGTGCTATCTAAATTCTGCACGATTCCTAAAGATAGGACAGTCTACTTGGGTTGACAGAAATTTTACACACTCTGTTCTTAGTGGAATGTATAATTTCCATGCATCAGCCTCTGCGTATACACAGCATTGGAATGATTGTGCTTCAGTTACTGACTCCAAGGTCCAAGTTACCCGGCGTCATATTTGGCAGGCTTTTGTTCAGGAATCAATCAGAACAATTGCAAGTGTGAATAGCAACAATTTGGAGTTGCCTGACAACTTGAACATTGAAGAAGTTACCCAGCAGGCATTTGAGAAATTAGGAAATGGGGGGGTAATAGAGCCAGGAAAAGAGCATTCATGTTCTAAGTGCTGTCAACCATATAAAGAGACTGCAGATTTTATGGCCAATGAAGATCCTGCAGCAGTGATAGGAGCAGATGAAAATTCTACTGTACCTGTTTTAACAGGAGAATATGCAAATTTATCTGCACAAGATACTACGAGAGAGAGACAAGCAGCCCAATTGAGAGCAAACAATCTCAATAATACTGATCCCAATGCTATGGATGTCAGTGATGATGATGCTGATTGTTCAATGATCATTTTGGATGGTGTTGTGATGGGCCCTCAGGTAATTAAACTTACTTGGCCTTCTAGAAACTGGATGCTGACTTCTTTTT